TCAATCTTCTTGTATTGTGATCTACCGTCTTCACCCATGTTCGTATATTATGAATTTTTATCTATCAAACACTCCACCACTATTATGGTTCAATAAATCAAACTCAGTTGTTTGATTTGAAGACTGATGTCGATTACATATATGTTGAATATAAAATATTCAAGTTTCTTATCGTATTAAATAACAACTCATCTATAATTTGGAAAAAGAAAAAAAAAATATATTATTTTAGCTATAATCATGGGATTGATGTTTTTGTAACCACCCATTAATGAATGTGAAATTAAGACAAAAAAGGAAGATTACCATTGTGTCCTTAATATTAATTGTATGAGATAGAATAACCTAATCTAACAAAAGCTTGTGATTGGTTTAAATGCTTTGTATTGTTAATACATTCTTCATTGTTAACACTCTATCTCTCTCTCTCTCTCTCTCTCTCTCTCTCTCTATATATATATATATATATACACACACTTAAATATACACAATATACATTTAACTCAAGATTTTAGCATCCTAAATCAATTATACTAAAATCAATGGTTTAATTCCAACAATCCAAGAAATTATAAACCAAAATTATGGTAGGAAGAACACCATCAAAGATGCTTATAATTATACATTTCAGATTTAAGAAATAACTCAAAATCGACCATAAACGAGGTCTTTCATCAAGATATTTAATGTTATGTTCTCGAAATTGGAGAGAGAAAAAAAGGAAAAAACGGAAGGAAAAGAAAGTAAAGAAAAATAATTTTTTTATTTCTGTTCACGAAAAGGAAGGAAAATAAAAGAAAGAAAATAATTTCCGTGCTTTTTAATACGAGAGAAAGGAAATGAAACATGTCATTTTTACTAATATACCCTTTTAAAATATATTTCTTTAAATAAAAGACTAGATAATTTTGTAATTTTATTAATTATTTAAAAGGGTTTTATTTTCTTTCCTTATCATTATTTTCGTTCAATTTTTTTTCTCTTCTTAAAAAATTTCAAGAGCACGGGGTTTTTTAATTTTCCTCTCATTTCCTTCACTTTTCTTTACATTCCTTCGCAAAAAAAGGTTTCAAGAAGACAACGTAAAATAAACTCACCTAAAAAATATCTCCAAGAATCATAAATCTCTACCCAATAATTAGAGAAACCTTAGATTAAAGTGTTAGGGAGTTCATACCTTGAGAGATAATCTAAACCAAACTTCTTCAATATTTCCCCACTCTTTATTTTCCATTGATTTCTATCCAAAGTTTTCTCCCCCTTTCTCTAAAACACACACATATAGCTTCTTGAAGATGAACTATGGTGGAACTATTTAACAAGAAACCTAATCTTGGTTCTTGGACAACAAAGATACCTGAAGCTAATTACTATAAAAGAGTAGCCTATAAAGGTTGGTCTATGATGGGGGTTTTGTTCGGCACCATCATTGGTGTCGCCTTCATTAAACCCATAAAATAATTTAAAAATTAAAGCAATGCAATGACACAAATTGACAAATCATCTGCAGAATCAAACCCCTCAATAAAACAACGATCAATGTGTCACCATTAGCACCCACAACAAGAAATTATAAGAGAACCCTAGAAGAAATGAGCAGAGAAATTATCATTCACATGGTCTTTCATGATATATTTTGAATAAGGGCAATTGAATTCTTGAGGGTAAAAAATGAATATTCGATGTTCCAATGGAAGAACACGATCAAATCTCTCAGAGTTAGCAAAATATTAATCCTTCTATCGACGTTTCTGCAAATCCATTCTCGTCATCTGATGGCAAGAAAAGCTGAGAGATTTTTAAGGATAGAACCTTAACAAGTTTCCTATACAAACAATCCTTAAAAACCCTAACAAAAGTCTCATTTTTCTTACCATGATTGTTACCATTCCTCTATTTCCTCTTCACATATAGTGAGTCCGCCAAAACCTGTAGATACATGGTTATTAAAAGAGAAAGTGAAAAATGATTTTAAAAGAAACCCTACCAGAGAATATGTGTGAAGACATTATGTGGTTCGGATTTCAATTATGTGGTTGAAACCCTTGAAGCAGATGACTTCATGTCTCGACATGGCTTTGGATTTTGATTCTAGGGTTTCAAACTGCACCTGACCTATTAAACTTGTTGTTCTTGTGAGTTGAGGAGATTTCGTTGGTGGATTTTGCATTAGTTAGAACGGAATTGAGGGTGTGTGATTGAAACTTGCATACATTGCATAGAATTACGAAGGGTAGTGGAGAGTGGGATGCAGTTATGGAGCTTAGAAGATCGTGGTTGGAGGGGGAAGCTGAATACTGCTTTATACCTTGTACATTAAGCAAATATAGATGTACCTTTTAAATTTCAACACGTAAAGTTATCCATGATTATATATATATATATATATATATATAGAGAGAGAGAGAGAGAGAAAGAGAGAGAGAGTATAGATGCACACACACAAATACACATATGTACATTCTGGAAAGATCATGCGAGAAATTAACCAGCTTGCGAGAAAGCAAGAAGTTTCAATATCATATATGATTACACTTCTTTGGGTGTGTTTAATCATACATAATTAAACGTCTATGTATTGTCAATGCAACTTGTGTTTAATACATGTTGAATTGGGTTAGTTCAAATCATTTATGTTTTTACTAATGTAGGGGAATATCAAATAGAAACCATCTAAAAATTGAAAGCTATAAAAGTCAGTTTGTATGTTTTGTTTCGTAGATAAAACAAGACATGTGAACAAACAATGTTCATATAGTGTTGTTTCATGAATGAAACGTCAAACAATATTTTACGTGTGAAAAAACACATAAATGAGTTTATACATGAAACAACACGTTCATACTCACATATAAGAATAAAACAACTGAAACAATATGAATCACTGCTTAAAAATCAAATGGTTTCGGTTGATTTAATGGGTTTGGTTTTCACATGTGCTGTTTCATCAACAAAACATACATGAAACTTTTCACGGTTTATATTTTTTGTTTTAGTGGAATGTAGCAACATAGGGGATAAAATGTTGTAATAACATATTAAATAGAAACAACAATATCAAACAAAACAACTAAGCAAGTGATACCAAATTTCTAGTGGAGTTCGGTATATCATACCTACTCTGTTGGGTTAATTGCAGATGGAGAACAAAGCAAAATACATTAGGAATAATGAGTTATCTATATAAGACGTCATCTCACAAGATAGCTAGCATGCACACCCCTAGATTAGATTCCACGAGACCTTCTCGTATAATTATATCAAATATCTGAAACCTTCTAGTTTCTAGATCTTGCGGAATCACAAGCAAAATAGAAACAAAAACGGCAAGTGGTTACTTGGATGACTTCAATGAACTAACCATAACAACAAGAAATCAAAGATAATTTCAAATATGAAGTGATGTATCCCTCACACATGCTTTCATACGTAATAATTTAGCACAAGGAAAATGTCGGCGGTGAAGTTTTTAATCAAGTTCTTCTGGCGAAAATGAGCCATTGGTAATCGGTCGATATACAGTTTTTCCGACAGAAATACAGACAGGCAAGTCCATCGGTATTGTCTTGTTTTTAGTAGTGACATCCACACACAAAAAGGAGGAACTTTATTCACAAAAATTGAAACCGCAATCATAAATTGTGATTAATAAACACTAAAAACTATTAAAGCTAATCCTCCCCATAATTTCCCTCTCAAAATCTTGATACAAAGGTGGAAATGGTAGAGTTGCATTTATACTAAACAAGTATACGGTTCCCAACTTGATATGAATGCTAAAAATATGAATTTTTGGATCTATCACTTGGCACGACCGTACGAGATTATTCCCTATTTTCTGTTTTAACCACAACAATGATAGCGTTTCACATTTTGTAGTATATTTTGTTCCGTATCACACTTTTCTAATATTTCTCATTGCCGAATCAGTTGTTATACCTTTTGTTTTCCATAAAACAGTAAATCTATCATATTGTGAATCAATTGATCTAAAGCAATATGATTAAACACTAACCTTGACCAGAAGATGTAGATGCTCTGTTCTGATTTTGTTCCATGTTCTTCTGCAGATACACACTGGAGTACTCCTCTGGATGGGACAGATAAAGAGTTTTATTTTGTGTTCTTGCAGGAGAATGAAACAACAGGATTGACTTCTGTATTTATAAGTCTCAAAATGGCGCCAACAAGGGATGCAACAGTTCCTTCCATCAGGGAACAGGTATTAACTGTCAATCCTCAACTGCATCCCATAACTACCTATTTATACCATATATTAAATAAAGTTAATAAATATAAACTTGAATTATACAAATACGTATGTTAGCTTTATGTTGAAAACAGATAATGGTATGAATGTTAATGATTATTCCTTATAACTATATCTTGTTCCTTTCTATTCTAACATCAGTAACCTCTAGTAACTGATTCCAAATCATTATTGACGTTAGACATCAGRAGATGGATATTGGTATATGTATACAAAAATGATTTATGTGGAGTATACGCAAGAAATGGTTGTAGGTGAAGTGAGTCGATCATTAGATGTTGTAAAATTCAGAAAAGCCCTCATTGATGAAATGTTGTATTTAATATTTTTCATTCATCAAATAAAAAACAGCAACGGAGAAAACAAAACAGAAAAAGTCAATGCCTCAAGTTCATACATCCCTATCTTAAAATCTAAACTTCTTTTTTCTTTTTGTAATGTTAGTGGGCCTCTATCATCTCTTTATTAGTCTATTTAAAGCCAAGGCCATACGATTGCAGTGTTCATCACAAGAAAAGACCAAGCTCGAAGGAAAGAGAACTAAACCAGTTCAATATCCAGGTAGCCTTACTAATCCTTAAGTACCTGTTGCTTCTTATTCCATATAGTTCTAAAGGCTTTCTTTATCTGGCGGAATCTGGAAAGGCCAACTATATATGATACTCTCTGACCTTTTATATCGTGGGCACTATGTTTCCTATACTATATATTTCAGGGAAAAAATAACAACCGATGGCAAGTATACCTGCTGATCATGAAGAGGCTGCAGATATCATCTACGACAAGATTCAAATTCTTGTTGTTGAAGAGAAGAAAAGACGAAAGCATGTCCATCAGTTTTCTCCATCCATTTACAGAGTTCCAAACATCCTTCGTGATGTCGAGTCAAAATGTTATAGCCCTCGTATCGTCTCAATTGGACCTTTCCATAAAGACGACCCAAAAATGAAAGAAGTTGTAGTTCACAAAGTGACGTATCTGCTTAGTCTTTTTCGTCGTTTAAGATCCCCACGGGATCAAACAATGAAAGAATGTGTCAACAGGGTGCTTGCTCAAATAGACCATATCAAGGCATGTTACGGAGGGGAGATGGAGACCGATAATGACCATGAATTTGCAAAAATGATGGTTATCGATAGTTGTTTCATACTAGAACTCGTTTACAGGTCAAACGAGAACGAGTATGAGGGTCATTCATTTTTTGACGACAACTTGCTCACCCTTTATGCTAAGCATGACTTAGTCCTGCTAGAAAATCAAATCCCTTTCTTTGTTCTTGAAAACATCTTTGAGTGTACAATTAGGAAATTTAGACCCAGTGCCTCTCTTACTAAGCTTATCCTGTCGTTTTTAACAGAAATTAACCCTTTCGGGAAAGAGCTAGTGCTCAAGWATGAAGGTGCTCATACGAATTATGATCATATCCTCGGGCTTTTGCAGAAATGTTACCAGCCTTCAAATGCYATGCTATCASAGATTTCAAAAATATCAAACTCGGGTGCAAAACTTYCAAATGCAATAACATCGTACYCGGTTKCAGAACTGTCTAGGGCAGGGGTGAAGTTTARGCCTYATGTAGATGCAAATTGGCAACTRGCMATGGAATTCAAAYCATCTAGGRTTCCATGCTATATCTGGTCTTGGGGTAAGCCTACTTTCAGAATGCCTCTCCTTCAAATYGAAGATTATACTGAATCAGTTTTAAGAAACCTTATTGCATACGAGCAGTGCTCTCCTGCGATTCCTAATTACATTACATCATATGCTTTTGCCATG